CACCTTATGTACTATCCACAGACATTGGTCAATTTATTTACTGGCCACAGACATTTGTCACCTTTATGTTCTGTCCAAAGACATTGGTCAATTTATGTACTGACCACAGACATTTGTCACCTTTATGTACTGTCCACAGACATTGGTCAATTTATGTACAGGCCACAGACATTGGTCACCTTTATGTACTATCCACAGACATTGGTCACCTTATGTACTGGCCACAGACATTGGTCACCTTATGTACTGTCCACAGACATTGGTCAATTTATGTACTGGCCACAGACATCGGTCAGCTTATGTACTGTCCACAGACATTGGTCACCTTACGTTCTGTCCACAGACATTGGTCAATTTATGCCACAGATATTGGTCACCTTATATACTGTCCACAGACATTGTACTTGCTTTTTTACTTAAAAGACTCTTAAATGTGATGTACTTTTAAAAAATTTAAACAAGAGGTTAATTGATTCAATTCCATATCTCTCTTAGACTTCTCGGACAAAGAACGTGACCTTTACTGTACCTTGTTTGTATCTTGTCTCATTTTTGAAGAATGCCGCCCGATTCCAGGTTGGTGTTTTATTTGATGAGTGCTGAATAACATTTTTTGAGATTTTGGGGATGAGAATTTTTTCCTTTGACACATGGAGTACCCCATGCAATATCTGTGAGTTGTTAAGTGTGATAACTGTGCAGGGATAATGTTTGAAAGTTTTGCTGTGTGACGTGTCTGTTTTCAGTTGGTTCTTGTTATTTAAAGGCTCTCATGATTTCCTTATTTGTGTAATATCGGCGTAGGGTATTTAAGTAAAAGGCAGTATACATTTTTATGGCAGGTCTTTGCAAAACAAACTTTGGTTGGAGAAAAGTTTATTTCATTCATATAACATTTATGTTTATTACTTAATTTTTGTTCCAAAATAATGGCTCTGAACATTTATAACAGTCCTTTATCACCACGCAGTAAATAGGAATTCCAATATCTGCTTATTTTTTAACATGACATAATTCATCCTATGGTGAATTCCACACCTGAATTCGATTGTACATGTTAGTTATGTGTAATTCACAAGGATTTTCTGTGAGGCATTGGAGATAATTACTGTTTCCTTCCCGAGTCCCTATTCCTTTGTAATTGTGTTTATTGAAATATTTTGCTTTTTTTTCTTTCAAAAATAAATGTAATGTACCAAAGAACAGTCTACATGTAATTAGATGAATGAAGTTACAGGGAATTTGGTAATGAAACTTACAAAAGTATGTTATCCTTCTAGAGAGAAGTTTTTGCCGACAGTGATGAGTAGAAATTACAAAGGAAACAAATGGAAGTGCATGGCATTAACAACTCAACCTGTTGGAGCTGCCTTTACTGTAATTAAAATAATTTCTCTGTAAACTTTCTCCACTGAACTGAAGATAAATGTTTAAAGATTGTCAGTTAGCCAACCAAATGATATGGATCTTAATATTTTAACTTTCTATTGAAGATAGATCAACAAGGAAAAAATAATATTTTGAGGTTAATGATCTTTTTAATCATAAATGATAGGTGTGTGATGTTATCACCATTAGAAGTTGAAATGACATTAAATTAATAATAGCTGTACATAGTAATATGTAGACTGAGAATGTAGCCATTGAGTACCTGTACTGCAGTAAAACACTCAATATGAATTAGATTTGTGGAAATGTTCCATTAACTTGAAACAAAACGTGTATTTTAATAAGATCACTTTCCATTTTGTGGAACTTTAAGGGTGGAACTTAAAGACAACCGGTGACAGTCACTGAATAAAATGATTCAAAAGACAATGGCATGACAGGAAGTCGGAGGCAATTCTGTGAACCCAATCCCTTCTCTTTCCTTCAAAAATTACTTGATTCTCCATAATTAAAATAAACTTTTGCCAAGAACTTTAATCTGCATGCGGAGCTTTCTATGCTACAAATGCTTTCTAAATTGTTTTGGGGGAAAAATGCCTTCAATTTAAAAAAAAAGTTCTGTGTCAAAAGAAAAAAAGGCAGAGCAAATTCAGTAGAGGGCGCTATTGATTATAATGGTAAAGTCGAGCACTTTGTAGAGGGCGCTATTCTACCAATTCTAAATTTTTATAAAACTGCAGAGGGCGCCATTGCATTAACAGAGCGTTTTATTTTTTTTCATTGCCGACTGCGGTTTCAAGCTTGTTCGGGCTCGAAAATGTTAAAAAGAGTCCAACTTACAAGATTACAGTTCCTTAGTCTGGTATACGCTGTTTTAAAACAAATCTGAACCGGACCAAAGTGTTACAAACATTTGCTGATTTTTTATTATTCTTAGAAGTTACCTTTCTTTACAACTTTAATAGAGGGCGCTATTATTCAAGGACATTGTGCTGTACCATTATCAGTCAGTAGAGGGCGCCATTGCTTTTTTCAAAAGAGGGCGCTTGTTTTGGTCGTGGATCAAATGTCAGTAGAGGGCGCTGTTAATTTTTTCAGTAGAGGGCGCTATATATTGGATAGGAAATGCAACGGCGCGAGGGACAAGTAGACATGCTGGAAAACGTGAGCTGAGAATTCAGTTTTTCATTCATTAAAATGAATTCTTTAGGAGGGCTTTCTGCTGTATCGATAAAATTCACTTTACATATCCTGTGTCTACGAATATGAAGTATGACGCCATGTCTGAGAAGCTTTTTTCTGTGGTAAACTAAGGTCAGGTTGTGTCCGAGAACTAGGCCATGTACTGGTACGGTTAACAAATGGCACCGCCAGTGGTCGGCATTTAACAGTTCAGGCCGGTTTTTCGAGGCGCCATACATCGGAAAATTTACGATTCTGGAAAGCTTTAGGTGCTGGTATGAAAGTCCAAACTCTGAGAAATACGCCGGTGCATGGAGGTAGAATGGCCGGTGTAAGTAAAATTGGCAAGTCATTCTTATTTAGGAAGATATTAGGATTCAAAGTTTGCGACAATCCTGCAGTTTGGATTTCAGGCATTTAAGACATGCCTTGAAGTAGGGCTGTGGTGGTGACAGATAAGAGACAGATTGTAAAAGCAAGGCACTACAGCCCTATTTGTGGGGCTATGGTATGGTAGGCCCTAGTCTAGCCCCACAGATAAGGCTGTAGTGGCTCTCTTTTGAAAAACCCGGGCTGCAGTATCACATGATTGAATTTAATTGTATGTCATGAATATGGATCAATATCCTTCAATACATGACCTGTATAACACTTCCGTACCATACCACACGATGTAATGTACATGTACATACCATGCGATGTGAAATGTACTGCTAAAGTGCTAGTACTGTCACTGTTGATAATGACCGCAGTCGATGCATTGGAACAGGAAGCAATGAAGTATGCCTGTGAAAGATTTCATATAACAAAACTGAAGAAATAGACTGACGCCATTGATATGAACCCACTCCAATGCTCCTACGGCCTGTTTGCAACCTACTTTGCATCCTAGGGTTAATTGTAAATATTCATATTAAACTACTATTTTGCATACAAAGGCCACGCCTCGGTTTGTAGGAGATTCCTAAGACGGTAGAACGAGCCGTCGATTTTATGTATGCTTGAATGTACATTGTATAGAGTGAAACGTTGCTATACTGAACATTGCTATACTGAACATTCGGCTGTACCGAACATCGTCCTTGGCTCCCAATATTTTGTGTACAAAACCTACCGAACATTACGCAGTTGCAAATCAACCGAGATTCGCCGCAGCATGCATCTGAAATCGATCCCGAGCGGTAGCATCACGACTTTTAAGATAAACTAAACATCAATTTTGTAACTCAAGATTTAAAAAAAAACAAAAATAATGAACAGATACATTTCTAGAAACCTCAAACGTGAATGCAATGGCAAAACATCACAAAAACAGCAAATCAAAGTATCGCAAGAAAATGCACTTCAGTTAGACAAGAGAGGGCGCT